GTGTGTGAGAGTGTGTGTGAGAGTGTGTGTGAGAGTGTGTGTGAGAGTGTGTGTGAGAGTGTGTGTGAGAGTGTGTGTGAGAGTGTGTGTGAGAGAATGGGAGCGATAGTGTAGCGGTTAGCGCGCTGCGCTATGAACCTGGCGACCCGGGTTCGATTCCCGCTCACGGCCAACACCAGTGACGATTATCTGAACCAGTCCTGGGCCTCCCCTAGGTCGACTCAGCCTCAAATGAGTACCTGGTGCGGTGTGTAAACATTGCCACTAGGGAGACAAAGGCGGTCGGGCGTGGTGTTGGCCACCCACCCCCTCGTGTACCGTTCCGCCCTTCATAGGTGCTCGCTAACAGCACTTGCCCCTACAGTCTGTTAAGGCTATATGGGGGATCTTTGTTTTTGTGAGAGGGTGTGTGAGAGGGTGTGTGAGAGGGTGTGTGTGAGAGGGTGTGTGTGTGAGAGTGTGTGTGTGAGAGTGTGTGTGAGTGCGTGTGAGTGCGTGTGAGTGCGTGTGAGTGCGTGTGAGTGTGTTTCTGTTGTTTGGGCGAGCGGTGGGGCAGAGGTTCGACTCCCAGGCACGGTTCACATCGCAGTATCAATGTCTATGCAGCGCCCTCGAACCCCGTGACGAGCGCTGTGATGCTGTTGCGTTTGGCAGCGGTACGCAATCAACAACAGCAGCACATTCGTCAATAACAACAATATGGCCTTCAAAGTAAAACGTATCACAGTACACGATCACAGTACACGATCATTATCACAGTACATGATCACAGTACATGATCATTATCACAGTACATGATCACAGTACATGATCACAGTACATGATCACAGTACATGATCATTATCACAGTACATGATCACAGTACATGATCACAGTACATGATCATTATCACAGTACATGATCACAGTACATGATCACAGTACATGATCATTATCACAGTACATGATCACAGTACATGATCACAGTACATGATCATTATAAAATGCAATGGCCATTCTTGGCAGCGCCGAGAGTGACCTGCTGTGTAGAAGAGCCATTGCCCGAAACGACCTTAATAGGTGCTCGCTGACAGCACTTTCCCCAACAGCCTGTGTAGGCTACACAGAACGGGGGGGGGTCACGTGAGGCCGAGTCAATGGAAACCAACTCGAGCCATGAGACGGCTCCGAGTGGCAGCCAGAGCCAAACACGCGATGATGAGACCCACACTGTGGTGGCCGTGGTGCTGGTGGTGGTGGTGGGGGTGGTGGTGGTGGCCGTGGTGGTGGCCGTGGTGGTGGCCGTGGTGGGGGTGGTGGTGGTGGCCGTGGTGCTGGTGGGGGTGGTGGTGGTGGTGGCCGTGGTGCTGGTGGTGGTGGTGGTGGCCGTGGTGGTGGCCGTGGTGGTGGCCGTGGTGGGGGTGGTGGTGGTGGCCGTGGTGCTGGTGGGGGAGGTGGTGGTGGTGGCCGTGGTGGTGGCCGTGGTGGTGGTGGTGGCGGTGGTGGTGGGGGTGGTGGTGGTGGCCGTAGTGGTGGTGGGGGTGGTGGCCGTGGTGGTGGTGGTGGCCGTGGTGGTGGCGGCCGTGGTGGTGGTGGTGGCCGTGGTGGTGGTGGTGGTGGAGGTGGCCGTGGTAGTGGGGGTGGTGGTGGCCGTGGTGGTGGCCGTGGTGGTGGCCGTGGTGGTGGTGGCCGTGGTGGTGGTGGCCCTGGTGGTGGTGGCCGTGGTGGTGGGGGTGGTAGAGGTGGCCGTGGTGGTGGTGGTGGCCGTGGTGGTGGCGGCCGTGGTGGTGGTGGCCGTGGTGGTGGGGGTGGTGGTGGTGGCCGTGGTGGTGGTGGTGGTGCAGTAGTTATGAAGCTGCTACTGGACAGTTAGAGGCAGTGGCCCTCCAACAACAACGGAGAGCAGAGGAGCGACGTTCACAACAACGAGCAGAGCGCCGGGTGGCTAAGGCACAGCAAGTTGGCACAGTAGGGGGCACAGGTGGTGCATCGGCCAGTCATCTCAGTCATCTCAGTCAGTCAACCCGTGGCACTTGGGTCTGCCCCGTGACCTCCTGCCGGCGGGCGTTGGACACTTCACGTGGCCTCAAGGTGCACATGGCCTGGCACAGGCGCCTTGGTGATATAAGAAGCACAGGCCAACTGAGTTCGACACGAGGCCAGGGCTCACGCTGAGTGGCGAGTGCTCTCTCTGAGCTGGTCACGACCCAACCCCACTTGCCTTCACCGACCCGTACTGACCAGCGTGGTGAAGTATGGTCAAACAACCCCCAATAACCGTACACAGCATGGAGAGGCCTCTAAACACGTGGCGTGACAAAGAGCTGTAACTATCATATTCTCCGGATTATAAGACGCACGTGTTCCTGCCGTGTGTTAAAAGGAAAGGTTATAATCCGATGGTTGGCAGTGTGTGTGTTTGAGAGATATATATAGATACCAAATCTGTGTAACTTTATTGTATTGGGTGTGTCTTACTTTCTGGAGCGTCTTACAATCCGAATAATTACGGGAATTTAAGGGGGGCGGGTGAGGGGGGGTCTCTGAGAAGGAGTCTCGTTTCCGGAGCCCGTATTGTGGTAGGAAAGGAGATTTGGAATATGTAGGATCAACTCTCCAGATTTACTGCGCTCTCCATTCTTGTGCAAAAAAAAATGCAAGCAACAAGTTGCACGTGGCGACAAGTTGCACGTCGAGCAATTGTTAAGCATCTGTTAGCTCCTTTGCACGTGCCACAGGACAGAGAGAGATGGCGAACTTTACTCCTCGATTCCTCCAGCCGTGTGGAGGACTCCATCTCTACCAGATCGTGACTATCTCGGCTCATCCACCACCAGCACCACCAGCACCACCACACTGAAGTGTCACAACTCACTCACCCACCCACTCATCCACCCACTAACACAACTCACTCGCCCACCCACTCAGCCACCCACTCACCCAACTCACTCGCCCACCCACTCATCCACCCACTCATCCACCCACTTACACAACTCACTCGCCCACCCACTCAGCCACCCACTCACACAACTCACTCACCCACCCACTCATCCACCCACTAACACAACTCACTCGGCCACCCACTCAGCCACCCACTCACCCAACTCACTCGCCCACCCACTCATCCATCCACTCACACAACTCACTCGCCCACCCACTCATCCACCCATTCACACAACTCACTCGCCCATCCACTCATCCACCCACTCACACAACTCACTCGCCCACCCACTCATCCACTCACTCACCCACTCATCCACCCACCCACTCATCCACCCACTCACCCAACTCACTCGCCCACCCACTCAGCCACCCACTCACACAACTCACTCGCCCACCCACTCATCCACCCATTCACACAACTCACTCGCCCATCCACTCATCCACCCACTCACACAACTCACTCGCCCACCCACTCATCCACTCACTCACCCACTCATCCACCCACCCACTCAACTCACTCGCCCACCCACTCAGCCACCCACTCACCCAACTCACTCGCCCACCCACTCAGCCACCCACGCACCCAACTCACTCGCCCACCCACTCAGCCACCCACTCACCCAACTCACTCGCCCACCCACTCATCCACCCACTCACACAACTCACTCGCCCACCCACTCATGCACCCACTCACACAACTACTCATCCCCCCACTCACACAACTCACTCGCCGAACCCACTCATCCACCCACTCACACAACTCACTCGCCAACCCACTCAGCCACCCACTCACGCAACTCCCACACTGCAGGTCACAACAACAAGAAACAAAGATCCCCCGTATAGCCGTAATGAACTTTTGGGGCAAGTGCTGTTAGCGAGCACCTATGACGGCCGGTACGTCACACGAGTGGGTAGGTGGCCGAAACGACGCCCGGCCGCCTTTGTCTCCCCAGCGACGATGCTTGCACGTCGCACCCACTCAGCCACCCACTCCCCACACTGCAGATCACCTCCCTTATCCTTCTGCATCTACCTTCCCATTCCTCCGCTCTACAATTCCCTCCTCGCATCGCCATCTCTTTCCCCAAGTTCGTATAATAATAACCTCGTTCGATTCCACACACGACTCTGATCGAGAGACACCTCCCGCTAGCCGCGTGTCGCTTCAGGCCTGAGCTGAGCACCAATCCCCAGTGCTCGTCTGTGAGCAGCATGAGTTCTACGTACGTTGTTGCATGCCACGCGGTCAGTAACAAACAGCACCGTTTAAAGTAGTTATTCTATGTAGTATGAACATATGATGCAACAGTCGGTATACTTTGTCTTCGAATTCGTCTGCAATGCATTCATCACACGTTAAGTCTAGTCGAGGCTGTTCTGGGGTGGAGTGGTGGTGCAGTGGTTAGCGTACTGCGCTGTGAAACCCGGCTGAGTTCAATTCCCAGCCACGGCGAACATCAGTGGTGAGTGACACTGACCACACACTGGTCATCCCTGTGAAGTTAAAATCAAACACCCCCCAATACCGACATGTGATGGGAAGGTCCTCATCCAGCAGTGGATGAACCAAGATAAATCGTCATCACGCAAACTCCGATCATCCTCGCAGCGGATGTTGGCTGCTCGCCATCGAACAAAGACGGTCCACTGCATCAGACGCGCTTCTGCGGCCGTCTGGAACGCTCTTCCTTCCGATATTAGGAAGTCACTGGAGCTATGCACTTTTAAATCATCTGGATTGAAAACTTATTTCTTTAGACCTGATTGTTGTGTTTAGTTTGTTATCCTTCCCGCGCACCTCCGATTAGCACGGTTGGCTACGTACGGTGCGAAAGAAGTTCAACGGACAGTTGCATACTAGGAGATGTGCCATCACACGAGTTGGTCTATGTGACTGATGGAACTCATCACCACCATCGCCATCATCACCACCATCACAACCATCACCACCACCATCACCACCATCGCCATCATCACCACCATCACAACCATCACCACCACCATCACCACCATCGCCATCATCACCACCATCACAACCATCACCACCATCGCATGACGTGGAACCCCGCGACTCACGGCTCAGTGCGGCTGCGGCGGAGATGACGGGGATGAGCATCAGGGGGATGAGGGGGTGCAGGGGTGGTAGCCTCCACCCCGACCACCGGGGGTTCCCGTGGGGGGCGCGGGACCCCCTCGCTGACCCCGGGACCCCGGCTGTCCCCCCCATGCAGACGCGGGGGGAGCGAACAGCGCCAAAGGCCGTCGGAGTGGAGGGGAGCGACTTCTCACATGGCCCGCCTGGTGGTGACGCGCGCACACGTGGGGCGAGAACACAGGCGGACAGACAGACAGGCGGACAGACGGACTTGTAGATGATGGACGGACAGACAATGGAAGGACAGAGAGCGTTGAACGGACGGACACGTGGAAAGACACGCGGGATTGCAGATGGACAGACACGCAGACAGATAGACACGGGAGGGAGGAAATCGAGAAGATATTAAGAGAGACGGACGGATCGATGGATGGGCGGATGTGGTTGTGGCGGTTAATGGATCCGTGCAGCACTGCTGGGACCTTCATCTATCTCAATGGGATGCACAAGACAAAGATCCTCCGTGAAGCCTGAACAGGGGCAAGGGCTGTTAGCGAGCAGCACCTATGAAGGCCGGCACGGCACACGAGGGGGTGGGTGGCCAACACCACGCCTTTGTCTCGCCAGTGGCGATGTTTACACACCGAACCAGGTACTAATTTGAGGCTGAGTCGACCTAGGGGAGGCCCAGGACCTGTTCAGATACTCGTCACCGGTGTTGACCGTGAGCAGAAATCGAACTCAGGTCGCCGGGTTCGTAGGGAGCGCTACGCTGCCGCTCCCTCTATTCGGTCTAGTGCACACATTCACACACACAGCATACAATATAGACACACACCACCTACATACACATCTACAAGCAGACATACACGCAGAAACACATACAAATCACATTCACACAAACACGCAAACGCCGACACGACGTACACATGGACACTGACACACACATTCTCTCACACGTACACACAGGATGCAGACACATGCAGGGACAGGCAGCATGCTCCCGTACAGAACACACACACCTACACACACATACACACCGACATACACACCGACACACACTGACACACACACACTGACAAAGATCCCCCATATAGCCTTAACAGACTGTAGGGGCAAGTGCTGTTAGCGAGCACCGACACACACTGACGCACACACACCGACACCGACACACACACCGACACACACACACCGACACACACGTGGCCCATGCAGAGTAATCTCTCTATCCCGCACGGTCTCGCACTGTACCTGTGCGCGGTACGAATCGGCACCACCACCACGCTCTCTCGTCCCTCTCCTCCTCCTCCGCCTCCAACGATTACATCTCGTCTGGCACAACCCGCTCCCTCTCTGCACTCCCTCCCTCTCCCTGCCTCCCTCTCTCGCCACCCTTTCGCTCACTCTCGCCCCTCTCTCCCGCCTCCTCTCCCCGAGTCCGCCTTGGCCACGACGCTCGCGATGCCTCGAGTGCGCCTCCCTCGCCTCCCGCGCTCTGCCCGTCGCCACCACGACCACGACTCCGACGCTGCTGATGCTGCTGCTGCTGATGCTGCTGCTGATGCTGACCAGGCATGGGGAGGGAATGAGCTGAGAGCCTTGCGTTGGTTCACAAGGCACCCGCAGCCCCTACCACCACCACCACCACTCGCTCCTATCACGGCCGTCCAGTGCAGAGCGGGGCGAGTGGCGCTTTGACGCGCGATGTCTCTCCCGACACCGCCTCGGTGCAGCAACGGGATGGGGTGGGAATTGAGGGTGACGAGGAGGAGGAGCGGGGACGACCCGAGCGAGCGTCTTAGTTCATCTCTCCTCTACACAGTCTCCCTCTCTCTCTCTCCTCTACACAGTCTCCCTCTCTCTCTCCATCTCTCCTCTACACAGTCTCCCGCTCTCTCTCTCTCTCCATCTCTCCTCTACACAGTCTCCCGCTCTCTCTCTCTCCATCTCTCCTCTACACAGTCTCCCTCTCTCTCGATCTCTCCTCTACACAGTCTCCCTCTCTCTCTCTCCATCTCTCCTCTACACAGTCTCCCTCTCTCTCCATCTCTCTCTACACAGTCTCCCTCTCTCTCCATCTCTCCTCTACACAGTCTCCCTCTCTCTCTCCATCTCTCCTCTACACAGTCTCCCTCTCTCTCTCTCCATCTCTCCTCTACACAGTCTCCCTCTCTCTCTCCATCTCTCCTCTACACAGTCTCCCTCTCTCTCCATCTCTCCTCTACACAGTCTCCCTCTCTCTCTCTCCATCTCTCCTCTACACAGTCTCCCTCTCTCTCTCTCCATCTCTCCTCTACACAGTCTCCCTCTCTCTCTCCATCTCTCCTCTACACAGTCTCCCTCTCTCTCTCCATCTCTCCTCTACACAGTCTCCCGCTCTCTCTCTCTCTCCATCTCTCCTCTACACAGTCTCCCGCTCTCTCTCTCTCTCCATCTCTCCTCTACACAGTCTCCCTCTCTCTCGATCTCTCCTCTACACAGTCTCCCTCTCTCTCTCTCCATCTCTCCTCTACACAGTCTCCCTCTCTCTCCATCTCTCTCTACACAGTCTCCCTCTCTCTCCATCTCTCCTCTACACAGTCTCCCTCTCTCTCTCCATCTCTCCTCTACACAGTCTCCCTCTCTCTCTCTCCATCTCTCCTCTACACAGTCTCCCTCTCTCTCTCCATCTCTCCTCTACACAGTCTCCCTCTCTCTCCATCTCTCCTCTACACAGTCTCCCTCTCTCTCTCTCTCTCCATCTCTCCTCTACACAGTCTCCCTCTCTCTCTCCATCTCTCCTCTACACAGTCTCCCTCTCTCTCCATCTCTCCTCTACACAGTCTCCCTCTCTCTCTCTCCATCTCTCCTCTACACAGTCTCCCTCTCTCTCTCTCTCCATCTCTCCTCTACACAGTCTCCCTCTCTCTCTCCATCTCTCCTCTACACAGTCTCCCTCTCTCTCTCTCCATCTCTCCTCTACACAGTCTCCCTCTCTCTCTCTCTCCATCTCTTCTCTACACAGTCTCCCTCTCTCTCCATCTCTCCTCTACACAGTCTCCCTCTCTCTCTCTCCATCTCTCCTCTACACAGTCTCCCTCTCTCTCTCTATCTCTCCTCTACACAGTCTCCCTCTCTCTCTCTCCATCTCTCCTCTACACAGTCTCCCTCTCTCTCTCTCTCTCCATCTCTCCTCTACACAGTCTCCCTCTCTCTCTATCTCTCCTCTACACAGTCTCCCTCTCTCTCTCTCTCCATCTCTCCTCTACACAGTCTCCCTCTCTCTCTCTCTCCATCTCTCGCTCTTTCATCCTCCTGGCTCTCTCGCTCTTGCGCGCACACGCGCACGTACGCCCCCCCCCCCCATCCCTCTCCGTTCCCTCTCTCTCTGTCCACTCTTCTCTCTGACGCCCCCTCTCTGCCAAACGCCGCTTGGGAGAGAAAAAGGCAACGATTTGTGCGGATGAATCGATACCCGGAGCCCGGCGGCCGCGCGGGACGAGAGGGCTCACTGTAACGTCGAGTGGGGGGGACGGGGGGGGGGGCTGAGAACCTCGTCTGTGATTGTGTGTGTGTGTGTCTATTGTGTGTGTGTGGGTGTCTATGGTGTGTGTGTCTGTTGTGTGTGTCTATTGTGTGTGTGTCTATTGTGAGTGTGTCTATGGTGTGTGTGTGTGGGTGTCTATGGTGTGTGTGTCTATTGTGTGTGTCTATTGTGTGTGTGTCTATGGTGTGTGTGTGTGTCTATTGTGTGTGTGTCTATTGTGTGTGTGTGTATATTGTGTGTGTGTCTATTGTGTGTGTCTATTGTGTGTGTGTCTATTGTGTGTGTGTCTATTGTGTGTGTGTGTCTATGGTGTGTGTGTGTCTTTTGTGTGTGTGTCTATGGTGTGTGTGTGGATGTGTTTATGGTGTGTGTGTTTCTATGGTGTGTGTGTCTATGGTGTGTGTGTGTGTGTGTACGGTGTGTGTGTGGGTGTCTATGGTGTGTGTGTGTGGGTGTCTATGGTGTGTGTGTTTCTATGGTGTGTGTGTGTCTATGGTGTGTGTGTGTGTCTATGGTGTGTGGGTGTCTATGGTGTGTGTGTGTCTATGGTGTGTGTGTGTGTGGGTGTCTATGGTGTGTGCGTTCCTATGGTGTGTGTGTGTCTGTGTCTATGGTGTGTGTGTCTATGGTGTGTGTGTGTCTATGGTGTGTGTGTGTCTATGGTGTGTGTGTGTGTGGGTGTCTATGGTGTGTGCGTTTCTATGGTGTGTGTGTGTGTCTATGGTGTGTGTGTCTATGGTCTGTGTGTGTCTATGGTGTGTGTGTGTGTCTATGGTGTGTGTGTGTGGGTGTCTATGGTGTGTGTGTGGGTGTCTACGGTGTGTGTGTGGGTGTCTATGGTGTGTGTGGGTGTCTATGGTGTGTGTGTTTCTATGGTGTGTGTGTGTCTATGGTGTGTGTTTGTTTGTCTATGGTGTGTGTGTCTCTATGGTGTGTGTGTGGTGTGTGTGTGTCTATGGTGTGTGTTTGTTTGTCTATGGTGTGTGTGTGTGTATATGGTGTGTGTGTGTGGGTGTCTATGGGGTTTGTGTGTCTATGGTGTGTGTGTGCCTATGGGGTGTGTGTGTGTGTTTGTCTATGGTGTGTGTGTCTATGGTGTGTGTGTGTGGGTGTCTTTGGTGTTTGTGTGTGCATCTATGGTGTGTGTGTGTGTATCTATGGTGTGTGTGTGTGTCTATGGTGTGTGTGCCTATGGTGTGTGTGTGTTTGTCTATGGTGTGTGTTTGTCTATGGTGTGTGTGTGGGTGTCTTTGGTGTTTGTGTGTGCATCTATGGTGTGTGTGTGTTTGTCTATGGTGTGTGTGTGTCTATGGTGTGTGTGTGTGGGTGTCTTTGGTGTTTGTGTGTGCATCTATGGTGTGTGTGTGTTTGTCTATGGTGTGTGTGTGTCTATGGTGTGTGTGTGTGGGTGTCTATGGTGTGTGTGTGTCTATAGTGTGTGTGTGTGGGTGTCTATGGTGTGTGTGTGTGTCTATGGTGTGTGCCTATGGGGTGTGTGTGTGTTTGTCTATGGTGTATGTGTGTCTATGGTGTGTGTGTGTGTGGGTGTCTATGGTGTGTGTGTGCCTATGGTGTGTGTGCCTATTGTGTGTGTGTGTTTGTCTATGGTGTGTGTGTGTGTGTCTATGGTGTGTGTGTGTGGGTGTCTATGGGGTGTGTGTGTGTGTCTATGGTGTGTGTATGTCTATGGTGTGTGTGTGCCTATTGTGTGTGTGTTTGTCTATGGTGTGTGTGTGTGTCTATGGTGTGTGTGTGTGGGTGTCTACGGGGTGTGTGTGTGGGTGTCTATGGTGTGTGTATGTCTATGGTGTGTGTGTGCCTATGCTGTGTGTGTGCCTATGGTGTGTGTGTGTTTGTCTATGGTGTGTGTGTGTCTATGGTGTGTGTGGGTGTCTTTGGTGTTTGTGTGTGCGTCTATGGTGTGTGTGTGTGTGGGTGTCTATGGTGTGTGTGTGTCTATGGTGTGTGTGTGTGTCTATGGTGTGTGTGTGCCTATGGTGTGTGTGTGTTTGTCTATGGTGTGTGTGTGTGTCTATGGTGTGTGTGTGTGGGTGTCTATGGTGTGTGTGTGTCTATGGTGTGTGCCTATGGGGTGTGTGTGTGTGTGTGTTTGTCTATGGTGTGTGTGTGTGGGTATCCATGGTATGTGTGTGTGTCTATGATGTGTGTGTGCCTATGGTGTGTGTGTGTGTTTGTCTATGGTGTGTGTGTATCTATGGTGTGTGTGTGTCTATGGTGTGTGTGTATCTACGGTGTGTGTGGGTGTCTATGGTGTCTGTGTGTGTCTATGGTGTGTGTGTGCCTATGCTGTGTGTATGCCTATGGTGTGTGTGTGTATCTATGGTGTGTGTGTGGGTGTCTATGGTGTGTGTCTATGGTGTGTGTGTCTATGTGTGTGTGTGCCTATGGTGTGTGTGTGTTTGTCTATGGTGTGTGTGTGCCTATGGTGTGTGTGTGTGTGTTTGTCTATGGTGTGTGGGTGTCTATGGTGTGTGTGTGTGTGTGTCTACGGTGTGTGTGTGGGTGTCTATGGTGTGTGTGGGTGTCTATGGTGTGTCTGTGTGTGTCTATGGTGTGTCTCTGTGTGGGGGAGCGGTGGTGTAGTGGTTATCGCGCGGCGCCACGGACCGGGCGACACGAGTTCGATTCCTGCTCACGGCCAACACCAGTGACTGTTATATCTAAACTGGTCCTGAACCTCCCCTAGGTCGACTCAGTCTCAAATTAGTACCTGGTGCGGCGCGTAAACATCGCCACTAGGGAGACAAAGGCGGTCGGGCGTGGTGTTGGCCACCCACCACTTCGTGTGCCGTGTTGGCCTTTATAGGTGTTCGCAAACTGCACTTACCCCAACATTATGTTAAGGCTACACGGGAGATCTTTGTCTTTGTGGTCTTAGGCCTCCCCTAGGTCGACTCAGCCTTAAAAATAAGTACCTGGGGCGATGTGTAAACATCGCCACTCGGGAGACAAAGGCGGCCGGGCGTGGTGCTGGCCACTCAATCCCTTGCGTACCATACCGGCCTTCATTGATGTTCGCAAACAGCACTTGCCCCAAACGTCTGTTCAGGCTATACAGGGGATCTTTGTCTTTGTGGAACTTGCCCCAACAGTCTATTAAAGCTACACGGGTAATATTTGTCGATGTATGCCTCTATGTAGGTGTGGGTGGGTGTGGGTTTAGGTGTGTGCAGTGTGATCATTTATATGTATCTTGAGTTCTTGTCAGTCTTCCTCTTTGTATGCATCTGTCAGTCTGTGAGTGTCTTTGTAAATGTGTCTGCATGTTATATGAGTGTGTCTTTGCGTCTTTGCACATATGCCATTGTGTGTCATTGTGGCGGGTCTGTTTGGGTGTGTCTCCGTGT